CTCGCGAGAGTTGCGCACACTACATCCATCATTCTGGCTCCTTACATAATTGAAGTTTTAAACGTCCAAAATTTTATCGCTGGAAAACGAGGAAGGTTGATCACGTGTGGGTCAGTTCGGCTTCTGTGTTGGTAGAGCAAGTGTGTAGCGAAACTGATATAGAGTAGCATACAACCTTCCAATGTCATTCTTTTCATTTCTGAAGTTGGCTTATCACCACCCCACGAGTACTGCACTGGGGCTAGATAATGCGAATTACTATTTGCCGTGTGGTACCTATGTCAGTTTTTATTTAGAGCGACGAAAAAGTCTGTTCACTTTTTTCACGAAATTGTCGTTCTTCGTGGTCCTAGTGAATTTCGATCATTGCGTATCAGGGAGTGTCACCTACGATTATTAATTCCTTTTATACCCAGCGAAGTGTCTGATATTGAATAGAATTTTGTGGCTTCCAACTGCGCTGAAATGCGTTTATTTGAGTAGCAGTGCGCCTGATCTGTCAGGTGAGTTGATGCTAATGACATCTTTATAACAATCAAGTACTGGACTCCGCTGAGTTCCTATTTTTCTTTCATTTAATTATGAATCAGTCACGCTGCAGAATTCAAAGTTTGATCTGTCAGTTTGCATATATAATACCTAGCAAGCATGGAAAAATGAAACTGGTTTGTCGTCTGACACGGCTCGTTTCTTTGCCTAACGAAAAAACCCTGAGATTTAAGAGAGTTTCGCCGCAAGTCCAATAAAATTTAGTAAACAAAAAAATATCGCTGTAATACAGAAGAAACCGTGAGAATGGCCGATTCTGATTGATTCTCGAGACCAAGAGTGGAATAATCTACCGAATAATATTACGTGAGCAAATTTCATTGATAAGAAATATAGTACTCTGAGTTTCTTATGAGAAAATATTTTATACCAACTTTAGTTAAACGGATTTGTAAAGCACTGAGGAATTGAGTTACTATCGACTTATTTTTTATTATTTTGTGTAACTAAAGTAAGTTAATTGAGCTTTCTCTACCATAACAAGTTTAGAGTTCCTTGTGACAAAATATGTTTCAACCAACTTTAGTGGGATAAAGTTAGTCAAGAATGATGGTTTGAACTACTACCAGCTGCCTAATTGATATTCTGCTCAACCAAAGTCGGTATTTTGTATTTTATTTAGCGTAAACTTATACTAGTATGTTTTCAATGATATTTTCGTGTGAAATTTTCTAACCGAATACACTTCAAGCTTCAATTAACGAACGGATTTTTTTTCTCGAACACGAATACTTAAATAATTCTCCCTCGTCTTCGACGTGGGAAAATTATCAAAATGTCGAGTTCTCAAAATAATTTCCAGTAATAATTGAAGCTCTCGTGTTATAATAAGTTAAAAAACTTTGAACATTTTCATACTTCAGAATTATATTTTGATTTTATGCAACCCTCAAACGTACATACTACAAACTAAAATTTTATCATTCCGCTGGATTCTTTTTGTCCAGCTTTCCAACGAAGGGTCACAAGCCATAGGGTTGGCGTTGGAAAAACATGTTGAGGCAATTTCAGCTACCCCTGAAGGGTTATATGCTTTATATTTCTCGCAAAATGTGGGCAAATACATTGAAATGTTGACGTCTCGCGAATTTTTAGAAAAATCATTCACCTCTCCGATAGCGAATTTATTCCAGTTAGATTGTTCTCAAATTGTTTTTGAATTGTTCTTATCCATCATTCGGTTGCCCCCTTACGAGCAACCCTCAGAAGTCTTCAAGAGACTTGTGCGTGTAAAGTCTCCACACTTCGGCTAAACAAGCAGTCCAAATATTGAAAGATTTTTTTAGAAATCAGGGACTTTGGAGTGGTGGAAATGGTATCAGTTAAAATCATATATTTGAATGTTCATTTATCAACGGCGAATTCAGTAATTATCTCTATTACACATTAGGTGTTCAAATTCATTTAAAAACAAAGGAACTTCAATGATTGAATTCGAGTGTTTACTTCAATGAATCTGTATGATATGTTGAAATCTCACATATTCACTAAACTTATGCCTGAGTGAATCATAGATTCATAATATTTTCAAATTCTCAATATTTTCTTTCTTTGCTAGGTCAGAAGGATTTCAAATTTATAAATATAGATGGTTGCATCAAGATGATAAGCGAGCATATCAAGTTCACTCCATTTGCTTCACAATTTCTTTGATATACGGGGAGAATCAGGGAAATTAGGATCGCATTAACAGTGAACTTAAAAATTGTGAATACAGACGTTGTTTGGACATCGATTTTGAAGTCAGATACATAATTTTCAAAAACTAATGAAACCTAGCACCAGTGATGATAATTTTCATGTATGCTCCTGAGTATGTGTGTAAATTTTCGGAAATTTTTTTGATATTTCAAAATTTTCAATCTCCTATATTAATGACATGCTATAAATGCATCCTTGTACAGGGTTTCTCCTCATATTTTGACCCTTACCTACAGCTTCAACTATACGAGGTGGAAAAAACTTCAAATATGAAAATTGTATCCATATTATTTTTTGGCACATGTCTGGCCTGTTTTGTGTTCATTGCATTTCTGTTGCATCCACAGCCATATGAATGTTATATTGGCATCTTTGATTCAATGCTGAATAAGTGAAAAATGGCTTAAGATTATTATATATCTGTATGAACAGGAGAAAAAAGATATTTCACTAGAGTTGAGAATGTACAAGGTTTTCCATTTGAAAAAACTGATTTGGACTCTCTTTTTATATTTTGCGATTCACATTTGTTTATTTAAGGAGTGCCAGAGCATAGTACAGATGGTAACCTACATTTTTCATGTTTTGAATTTTTCATCCAACTCGTATAGTTGAAGCTGTAGGTAGGGGTCAAAATATACGGAAACACCCTTTCAATAAAAATATCCATTATCTATCTATGCGCCATCAAGTTTTTTTGATTTCCCTCATGTATCAAAGAAGCACCACCAGAAGCACAAATTCCGTCAGCCATAAATATATGATATATCGCTAAGAAAAAATTTCAAGTGGTTCCGATTTTCCTGGTTGAAATAGTAATGACTATTAATTGTTCTTACGAAAACATAATTTACGGGAAAAGTTATTCGATCCAGTAACCTAACCTAACGAAAGCCACAAAATGAATCGGCAAGATAGGCTCCCTCATCACTTGTCTCATTTTCCTGCCAGCCTCAAACCGTTTGAACCATAGAAAACACCTACAAACAGAATGCAACCTCCCATAAATGACCCTCAGGGATGTACCACCAATGCCACCTCGCGTTTTGAAAGCCGATCTAATTTGACAGACTAAACCTCAGTAACTAGTTACAAATAGAGTATCTTTATGTATTTGACAGTTTTGCTCTAGTTACGAAGATATTCATTTCGCTTGTTTCCTATGTGAAAAGGTATCACATTCTGAGGATCCCTGTGGAACCGCTGCCAAATCGACAATCCAAAGGGATTATTCGGATAAAACATCTTCATTTCGGCATAAATAGCTTAGGATGTAAATTTTAACAACAAATATTCTACCCATAAACTTAGATTGATGATTATAAACTTCTATAGGACGGCGTTATGCAAAGAGCGCCAAACCCTCAATAATGACAAACTGAGATAATTAGCGCTGAAGTTTTCAATTAAAAACATCTGTAGGACATTTTGATAGTACTTTGAAACTTCCTTCTGTTTTGAGATAAATCTTTTGATCTCTCATTTATGTTTTGATATTTCAAATATAGAATGAGTGTGAAAATGGCGACTAATTGTGGGTTGGCATGTTTCTGCATTTTGCAAAGAGGGTAATTGAAGTGAAGTATAAGTATAATAATAATACCAAGTGGGTTGGTAGGTTGGATATTTGGCAAAATACAAAATGAATATGTCGGTCAGCATTTTATAGTTTTATGGGGTATATAATTGATTGAGGCTTGATTTTCAAATACCCAAATATCTAGTATATTGTGTTTTGGTAGCTTTTTGCATAACGCCGTCCAATGATAATAGTTGTTCTGAGGCACATAAGAAGATAAAGAATAGGAATTAATTTCAGGAGAACATGGAGGCACCGCGATGATCGTAGTGAGAAATGTCATTTATTTATGTTGTTGTTATCAATGGTTTTCCAGCTTTTGTGTGAGTATTAACAATTAACATCATATTAATTTGTAGTGAAGTACAACTATTAAGCAGGACTACATGAATTATGATTTTTTTAAATGGAATACCCTGTATTTCATTGCATTTCCAGATTCTAAAATTGTTCTATCCGTCATTCGGTTGCCCCCTTACGAGCAACCCTCAGAAGTCTTCGAGAGTCTTGTGCGAGCAATGAATGACGGGGGCCTCACCTTTTAACGTGTGATCCCAAACACTTTCTTGTGCCATCAAAAAAATTTCTGCAGTCGCGGGAATTGAACCCACGACCGGCAAGTCAATGCGGATTAGAATATTAACACTCTGTCCGCACGGCTACCTGGTCCCCCTCCCTGAAGAAATAATTTCATCAATGTGACAACACAATTGGGGTTTAGCAGGAATGATTACATAGATTAATAGGGTATTCAAAATCAAGAATTTACAAATTTAGGATTTTTTTGTGCCCAGACTATTTAACATTGGTCAAAACGGCTTATATGTTCCTATCTTAACTTTTGATTCACTCTCGAATCTCGAACCAACCAGTGCGATCACGTTGTTTTGAAGTGCGTATTATTGAATACCAAAAAATGTACCCTATTGCCATTTATCGGATCCGTTGCTTCACTATCTTAGTCAGATATGGGAGTTTACATTATATTTGTAGGTGGTTTTCTATGATTCAAATCAAACAAAACTCACAACCAAAAGTTAGTGTCAAACTGCCAAACTCATTCAGAATATTCAGATATCACGCTAGAGGAGTAGCAGTAGTAGTGGTAGTAGTAGTAGATGATAGTAGTAGTAGTAGCAGCGTTTTTGCGGAATATTTTGCATATACTCACGCCTCTTTGGTCAGCTCTTTCTGATAGGCTATCGGACTTTGTATGGCCTTCATGAAATCCGTCTGTTTTTGCAATGTCTCCTTGATGGTGGTCAGCCATTGCCTGCATAGCTCTCGGCTACTAGTTTGACATACGAACTCCATCTGGGATCGAAGAGGATCTGTCGATTTCAAGATGAAACTGTCTTCACCGCCATCTTCCAGAGACATTTTGTTTACCTGGAATACAAATCGGACAGATTATGGTCTGCTCATACTGGGTGACCTAAATCCAATGTACCCTCCTGTGGCTTGCAGGTGAATGTGAACCAAGGGTACAATATGAGGTTCTGTTTATCAATCATGAGCTAAAACTGCATGCTAGATGACTGACAGCTAGAGATGGGTTTACGCCCGGCGCTTTCATTTACGACCGGAATTTTCATTAAATGCGCCTAGGCGTTTTCCGGGCGATTAAAATTTGATTTCTTCATGGAAGTGGATGAGAAATGCAGTGAGTTTTCTTTTAATACCAAATACATTATACAAATAACATTCCTGCAAGGCAGTTCTAATGAAATGAGTGAATTGTCGGTAATACTAATATTGTCATCATTTAATTTCATTCTTCAATTCATTTCATTAAAACTGCCTTGTAGAAACTTTTGTTTTGCTATTTGCATGATGGACACAGCTGATAAAACTCATTTTTCACCACAGAAGAAGGGCAGGTTGTGGAATTGTGGAAAAGATAACTGTTACTAAAACGATATTCAATTTTGTTTGATATTCAATGGCAATTTCATCCACAAACCTACCCACTGGTCAGATTCAACGGTCTCTCTTCTCTATTGGATGTTGATTCTCCAATCCTTTTTTGTTTTGTTATTTTGTTTACAGAGTAGAACGTTGAGTGTGCTAGGCAAACTTTTTTATTCGGTTCATCAATTTTCCTTGAAAAATTTCCATGATTCGCGCTTATGAAATCGGACAGCTGTTCACTTCTGTGACTAACAAAACTCTTCAATATATTAAAAGAATTAAATTGATTTATTTGATATTCCTGTGACAATATACAAATTGAACATTGTCTATATTAAAAATATCGTATCGAACTCAACAATTTCATTCTATAATCTGTGTTTCCTACCTCTACCTGTTGAAAACTTCTTAAGAAAACTCATCATCAAAATCCGAACAGAATTATTTCTTTATCTCACAGTATATGACCTTTCCTCATAACTGATGATCTCTACATCTTCATCATTACTCAAAACTGGTTCTTCAATATAATTATAACAATTTGTAGTACTACTACTACTTAAATACGTTATGTCAGGGTCAGAAATTAGCAGTTACTTTAGCTGTCAGTTACAGTAAACTCACGAGTTCAACTCGAGGTTGAACCTTAGCTCATAGGTAGTTTGACTCAACTTTTTCGTAATCCCATGATTTTATTTTGATTTAACCGTATTCAAATGACATTTGAAAAGTTAAAGTTACCAGTCTCCGTCCGTTAAGACTGTGTAACGGCCGGTGGCCGTTAACTGGTCCATAACAACACGATGTTGGGATTTTTTTGTAGAATTACAAGGTTGTACGTGGTTCCTTTCCTCGGAATCATAATGAAATCTTTCAGCAGGATTACGAAAAGTCTTGAACGACGTACAACCGAATAACTATAACAGACTGTCAATTCAAAAAAATGATTTCGGGATCTCAAGCGGTTTCTGTCAGTTTTCCTTTTTGATGAAGTTGTTCCTCTCACAATGATTTTCAAATCATTTCAGCAACCATATTTCATTTTCAGTTTTCAGTCTCAGGACGACGTGGTCTGCTTGTGTTGATTTATAAACATATCTTCTATTGACATTATTTCTCTCATCTTCACTGAGAGTCAGAAGAAAAAATAGATCCTAGCAGAAAATGGTCAACAATTATGGCTGACAGGAATGAAAATCATTGCAGAACGAGAATATGCTCATCAAAAAGGAACCTGAGAAATTGTCTCGATTCCTGTCGATGGGGACATCATAACTCACTGTCCTGTCAATGAACCTTTCATACTTCTTATATTTTTGTAACCATTTTTTAATGGGGTGTCAGTGACTATCAGCAAATTATTATCTTGATTGAAGTAAAATTTCTTAACGCAGCAAGATCTTCAGACAGACAAATTAATGTGTCGTCCAGTTATATTTTCACATTTATTTGAAATATATATGGCTACTGGTACTGGTACTGGTGGGGGACGTTTCCACGTCAGCAACTAGTCCCCAATGGGACCTTTTTGCAAACCCCAAGTGTTTTCAATGACTGATGTGGTTCGCTCAAGAGAGCTGGCCAACATCCTTTTTCAGGCACCGCCCATCAGCTCTCTTTCAGAGTTTTTCAGCTGTGTTTTGTAGGCTAGTAATGTACTCACTACCATATGCGCAGTGGCAGGCCTGCTAACTATCTTCGTTAATCCCCGAGACCAAGGTCTACTAAGCAGCTGGCCCGCTCTCACGCTCAGCTGGTAGTTTTCCACACCCACCTACATAGACCGTCCTACTTCTTCTGATGCTCACAACCACATCATCATATCTTTCTGCGTGTTCTGTGTAGGCTTTGTTACTAACTCCATGCGCCACTTTAGGAGTAGCACTGTTAATTGGAACGCAACAGCGAATCGTGCAGGACTATCCCCAGCCGATGCTCCGAAACTTTACAATATTTAATTCGTAAATAAAATATTGAAAAAAGTTCCTTGCCCGTGCTGGAAATCGAACCCACGACCTTGCGGTCGTTAGACGGACAATATATATAGCTAAAATAACAGCGAAGGAACAGGAGGTACATTGGATGTAACATATGGTTGGATATATTTACAGGTCCAAAACAGAATGCACGACATTCCACTTACTTGTATATGTGCCTTATAAATATATTCAGGACTAGTGAACTGTGTCTTCTTTCCAACGATTTCAGAAAATATGATGCTCTGTTCGAAGAAGAACACTTGTAACTCCTTATTTTTTCCTATACAAACACAATTAGAACCAGGCAGATCGGACACTATCAGCGTTCCATGTATCTGAAGTTTGCCTTGGGCTGTGATTTTACCCTAGAAAACATAAAGAGAAGTAGATATACAGGAGAATGTCAATATTCAAAAATTCACTATCCATATTGAAGGTTAAAAACTGATAAGCTAGGTAACTCTGATTATAGGGGATGAAAAAAACAAATTTGTTCCAAGAATCTCCGAAGATAAATTTCAACTCTTCTTGCATCATGTATATTTTTCAACTGATTCACTGAATTACCAGAAATAATTGATATCAATATTGAATTAAATTTCAATGGGTGTCCGCTAAAAGGAGGTCAATCCATCAACCATAATATTCCTTGAACCAAAAAATATGAGTTTCTAAATACCATTTCTCATTTTAGCCCTCCATATTCGATATGCAGGGTGTCAAAGTTGGAAATCAAAAACTGTTCTTCTTTAATTACTCGCGTATTTTTTTTTTTTTTTTTTTTATCGCTTGGAGCGCACGAGAGGGAATCCCTATAATGTTCAAAGAACATCGTGCGTTCCTAGGGAGGATAGGGACAAGAGGTAGGTATTGGAATTTTTTTTGAACTTCTGGAGATTATATATATCAATTTCAAAATCAGTACATCACTTCAGCACAAAGAGTTACATCGTGTGAGGAAAACAGAACAAAAAATAACTGTCAAATATTCAAAATACTGGGGGTCAAGTACACACTTACCCCCATATTTTTTTTGTACGTGCGCTAAGGACTTCCTATCTATTTTCCTTCGAATGTTTGATCATTTTTGAGTATTTTTTGTCTATGGCGAAATTTCGATAAAATCATTTGTTTTTAAGATAATTCGAAAAGTACTGGTTATTGTTTGATGCCTATGCGGCTTACGGTAGTCTCATAATGTTCACATACTCCTATTTATTTCGTCGAAATTTCAAGAGGGCGTAACTTTTCACGTACGAAAAGGTAAATATGGACATACCGGGTACTCAGAGCGAATGTATTGAAATAATTTTTCAAAAAAAAATTGACAGAAATTCAACACGTCTAAATGAATTGCTCGATATGACCCCCGATTTTTTGAATACACGTGCGAGCCTTTTTAAATAAAGGAAATCTTAGCCTTTGAAAAATATGTGGCTTGAACACCAAATCTTTCATACATCTTCAGACAATCCTGATCTTCTGTCTCTTTCATCAAGTTGCTATTAAAATCATGGATATCATAATTTCACCTGGAATTTTCGAATTTTTTTTTAAATTTTTTCCGATTTTATTTCGCTCTGAGCACCCGGTATTTCCATATTTACCTTTTCGTAGGTAAAAAGTTACGCCCTCTCCCAATTTCGACGAAATAAATAGGAGTATGTACCGTATGTATGTACCGTAAGCCGCATAGGCATCAAACAATAACCAGTACTTTTCGAATTATCTTATAAACAAATGATTTTATAGAAATTTTACAAGAGACAAAAAATACTCATAAATGATTGAACTCTTGAAGAAAAATAAATAGGTAGTCATTAGAGCACGTAGCAAAAAATATGGGTGTAGTGTGTACTTGACCCCCAGTATTTTGAATATTTGACAGTTATTTTCTGTTCTGTATATCGAATATGGAGGGCTTAAACGAAAAATGGAATTTAGAAACTCATATTGTTTTTGTTTAAGGAATATATGGTTGATGGATTGACCTCCTTTTAGCGGACACCCTGTAAACATAAAATAAGTTTGTGGCGTGAAGTCGACTAGTGTGTATAACTTCATTCTTTTGAACCCACCTCGAACCCTTGCAGCCTACCCACGTCCATCATATCGTTAGCGGTCTTCGGCACCACCACCATGATATTGTAAGCCGCCCGCATCGGCTCGATCTCCTCTTCGATGCCCGCCCGCTCCGTATACTTGAGGATGTCCTTCAACATGAGCTGGTACTTCATGATCCGCTGCACCGGCTTGATGAGCAGGTCGCACAGCTGCAGCTTGTGGCCCAGCAGCACGCGCAGCTCCTCGAAGTAGGTGTCGAGGTATTCGGAGACGATGTACTCGGACACGTGCTTGTTTTTGCAGTAGATGACGTACATTTGGAGCTTGCGCTCGTAGCGTCTGAAGAGGGCGGCGAGCTCTATCGGGTTCTTGACGGCTTGCTTCAGGGATTTGATGAAAATGCTGGAAATGAATGGAAATGAATGCTGTGGAGCGACACCGAAGAAACTTGTTTGAAAAGTTGGGTAAGTCACGTTATTTTCTGCCAATCGACAACAAAAATATTACAGTCCACGCTCAATTCAACAATGATCCGACAATTCAACGGACAGAATGGGGAAGTTTCCTATATTCAGATTTTTATCTCACTGTGAAGTATCTCACTGTCAAATTTCACTTCAGAAAAAAATAAATGAGAGGAACTTGGTTCCTCCACCATTCCTATGACTTACTTTCTGAAAATCCACATTCACACAGAGTTGAAATACGATTCCCTGTGCCAGTACGACGTTGCCGACATCATCAATATGTATAGATTTCCGGAAATTGTTCTTTAATGCATAATAACTATATCATAACAGCAATAGGATATAATAGGTTCTTCAATCCTACTTAAACAAGTATTATGAATAATTCCCATGAATCTCTCATCGGATGAATGAAGTCGATTACTAAGGGCCTATTTATGCATCATTGTCTTAGTCATTGTCTTAATCATAGTCTTACCAAGGTGGATAGAATATTAACTCATCATATTTGGACCTTTATGCATCACAGTCTTTAGGCTTAAGAATTATGATATGACAATTAACAATCATTCAAGAGATCCGTCAGTAGATAGGTACAAAAACAAATTCTATACAACAGGGATAAAATGTAGTCTACCTACCAGTCAATGCCATGATTTGTGATATTGAATTCCAGGAATTAGCTATTGCTATTTTATTTTCGAATTTCGAGTCTTTCTTGTCCCAAAGATAACGAAATTTCTTCGCCAAATTTATTAGGGTTCCTTCTTCCAGGCTCATGATTTTTTGATATTTGTTATCAAATGTAATCAAATTATCCGAGAGATGTAATCAATTATTGACACAGCACAGATGGTACTGATTTTTTGGTGACAAACACAAAATCTAAAGCCATTTGTGATTGTCAAATATGTTGACAGGTGTACACATGCGCATTTCTTATGTGGTCTCAATCATAAGCATAAAAATTGAAAGTTTGTAACTTTCAAGCTCATGATTTAATGATTATGATTGGGACTGATTCAAAAAATGTTGCATGAATTCACCTATTGAAATGTATGCTCATAACTTGATTTTATGATCAAAACAAAGACTGTGACTAAGACCTTAGACTGAGACAATGATGCATAAATAGGCCCTAATAGAGATAAAATATAATATTTTGCGCTAGTATCTATATTTTTTCACTATCGTTATATTGCAATATGCTATTCATAACTTGTGAGTCATTTTTTTGCTAATGACTTCGTTCCTTAATAAAACGGATCTATTTTCTAGAAAAGTTGCAGATTACATCTTGCAACAGCACCTGATACTTCGAGTCCGTCCACACCACTCAAAATACTGACAGGCACAACGAGAGGAAGGAGTCATGGGTGTTGGCTTCATTCTGTTCTGACCGATGGCAGTAAATTAGGAAGGATAGTATCATTGAATGTAGCCGATAGTGATTCATTGATTCAATGATACTTTCATTTAGGATCGAGCTCTAGTCGAGATTTCAATGCATAAATAACAAAACTACGTAATGAAATTGGAAATTTCAGAACTCACTATATATCATTTTTATGGCGTTTTCAATACCGACCGGACTGCCTATAAGTATATCCATATGTGTCTATTTCGTCATATTAAAATATCGTTACATGCATTCTTCTCATTTTCATAACTTGGTCTGTGAAAATTGCTATAAATTGAAGTGGGTGTTACTCTATTTCTATTTTCCATCTACGGCTATGATTGATCGTATCTGACAATCAGGCGCTATTAGGAAAATTGAAAAGACAATGAGCAGAATATATGTCTAATTCTTTTTTTCACTCAAGCATTGTATTTAGAAAATTGAAAAGGACTCTAATCGACTAATACCATCCAGTGACTCTAATTTCCACTTATACTTGAATATACTATTTTGACACGTCAGTTTAACGTTAAGGTGTTCTTACAATCGATCTGTTTTGAAAATGAACATTGAAAATTCTTATTCATCAGGAATGCTTTTTACATTTAGCGACTAACCAGCACGATTTTTTCATAGACTCTCGACGTGTGTTACATATAATTGAATATGTGATAATTATTATGGAAATTCGAGTTCCTGTTGTTTCCATGAAGGTAGGTAATTATTGTTTATGAGAGTTTTTCATGTCAGATGGTTCTGTTTCAGTCTCCTCTAACAAATATTTCGCATTTTTTTCAATGAATAATTACTGATTTCTATTGTAGCTAGATATCCGCCGATTATGTATTTGATAAACACATAAACTTGAAGGTCAATTATTATTAATCTCTAGCTTATTATAAACATTCACCAAGTTATTCAAATAGCAAAATCTAGAATTAGCAACTATAGGATTTCAAGGAAATCTCCTGAAGCTAGACTTCCCTCATGAACTTGACATTCTTGTATTATATAGAATATGGAAACTCTGACAAGCACTGACAGACATATACTAATAAATTAATGAAAAATAGCGAGACCTCACAGTAGAAGATTTAATAGTAACTATTATAGAAATCATATCAACTATTGTTATCATTGATTGTTAAAAAAAAAACAGTTATAGTATTTCGATTTCATATACAACCCATTTTTTTCCCAGTTGATGAGATGCAATTCTTATTCAAAAATGAAAGACCGAGAAAGATATATGGCTGCAGTCATCTTTCTCATGTAGAGAAAGGAAGACCAAGGACCTGAATTTGAGCGCTAATCATATTCAAGTCCTTATTTGGGAAAACAAATAATTTTCTTTAGATTAGTAGTTATGTCTTCACAGTCACAGCACAAGAAGTCTTTACTGAGGTCTGTACTATTAAAATACCAAAAACGTCAAATCCATCGTGGCACTCCACCAGAAGCTAGCTAATCTCAGATACTGGCCTTCAAAATACATAACTACTGGGATGAAGAAAACAACAGGAGAGGTATGAAAGACCTACGATCCAAGTACCTAAGCTGAAGAGGAAAAACTCACCACAAAAAAGGAGGATGAGAAGAAAAATGAGAAGATAGGTACTTACTCTTTGTGCCAATCATAGATATACTCGATATTCCCGAACACCAGCTTATCTTTCCCATCTCGCAGATCTTCTGGCATCGGGACCTCGCAATCGGGATCCCTGATGGCCTTTATGTAACCGTCCACTAAAATAAGAAAAATGAAAATAATAATAAGTTTCGTATTTATTCGGGCGTTACTTGATGGTAATCAATAATGAATGTAAAAAACTTCACAAACAATGAGATTTCCACAAAATGATTAATAACACATGTTTTGCTAGCAGAAATTACTTTACTTGAAGATACTGTGTTGAAGAATCATGTCCTGTAATTATGAGCTTGCTGCTTCAATTTCGTTCATGAAATCGTTCCAAAACTTCTCGCCTACGGCTCGGAAGTTTTGAAAAAGTCATTCGGCGAAATCATTAGGCAACAAGCTGTCGTAACAATCGCCGGATATTTCCGGGAAAATAGTATCACTTGTGGTATCACATATGAAAACTCATATATTCTGTTTAATTATCATTTAACGATTAAAGGTTAGAGTGGAGGCCTTTTTTCACATATTTTCGAGTCTTCTTTAATTATATTTTCTGAATCTGAAGGATTTTTACATTCATATCATATGCATACATGGTATATTTACTCGCTAGATCAATTTGTATCATGGTATTACCCCTGATAACATCAACTCGAATCAGCGCCGTTAACAGCACGACATGCAAAATAACGCAGCCATGTAGATTGAATAGAGTGACGACAATAGATCCTAACATGGCTGCAGTTTCCGGAATGTCATTTGTGATCAAGTCACTGAATATCTAAAAATCTGACGGGTATCTTCCATGCAGTAATGAATTTGCGCCTTCGAAGTGCCCACCTGATGTTACGTTTAGTGCACGTGCACTTCTGAGCTTGCGCAGTATGCAACAATGATACCGCGTTATTGGAATGACGTCAGGACTGGCCTTGTTTTTCTATCAACATACAGGCGTTTAATTTCTAGGATTCATACAGAAATGCGTAGTCCCTAATATACATAAAATATCGCTAACGAAATAAATCAGTTGAGAATCACACGAAAAGTTAACCAGAGCACACTTTTCTGTTAACTAATGTGAACTGTGACCAGACCATTGTACTCCATTTGACATCTATGACAACGCCCTTCATATTACACATTGTCGCGAAGTGGATATATCAAACTGTTTGTTCTGCAAATTTTTCCATCAGAATAGTCACTGAATCATATAGTTTCATATTTCCTTGATAACTGTCATGGAGTTATTGATGGAGAATTCATGTACCTTTCATTATCTCCATAATACTCCCCTCGATGTGACATAAAACATTTTAGATTTGACGTCGATGCTGTTGCAATGCGCAAACTCGGAAGTGCACGTACCTCATCTGTAGTGTGTAATTTTGATTCCGCGCATCCGTATGAATTGGCATTCTAGGTGAGTGAATAATTCTGTGAATGCACCTCCATATTAGAGGTCTGACCAATCAAAAAGTGTACCAATATTGTCGCCACTCTATTTATAAAGTCACTATAAATACCACTGACTCATTACTTTATCTAGACTGCTAGTAGTCATATCGCAGCAACCCGAAAATGCGATATACAGGATCCCCCAAGATGTCGTTCATGACTTTAACGTGGTATCGAAATCAACTTATTCATAGGCGGCGGCAATGGTTGTCGTCGTGTCAAGTGTTTTGTTCATGTCAGTAGTCGGCTTAATGAAAATAATATAAAAATGAGTGGTGATATTAATTTTCTCGTTTTATTTTTGACAATACAAGGAAATATGAAGTGCTCTGTTCTTTGGTGTAGGAATTCCACCATAAATAATACTAAAGCAGAGGTGTTTCTTTTCATCGGTGAGTTTGTAGGAAATTGTTAATTTATAATTATTGTGATTTGCTTTCATCAGTGAGCAAGTATTTAACCCAAATGGCATGCATGTTTTGTATATTAATTCAGCTGTGAAGAATTTGAGCTCAGGAGAGGTGCCATACCTGCTCATCTATTTTGGATTAAAAGTTTACTCATTCAACATTCAATATTGATTCTAGAATTCCTAAGATTAAGAGGAATTAATGGTTTGAGAATTAGGAGACCATTGAACCTTAGCGACTCAAGAAGGATATGTTCAGACTATTTTACACAAGACAGCTTTCTCATGCTTTCAGCTAGTCCAGGACACTGAAACCACGTGCAAATCTTATGCAAATTCGCCGTTTTTTCAAATAAAGTTCTCAAATCTAAGAATTTGGAAGCTATGATACCTGAATATGGTATATTTAATTCGTTTCTCTCTACTTTATGTAAAGTTTATCAACCTTCCATGGTAGCTCCCTCGCAACCTTTTTCCTCCAATACGTCTATGTTCCTCCAATTCATGAGTGTAACATGAAAGATCCTTAATGCGCATGAATCATTTTCACCAGTTCAATCTCCTGAGTGGTTTCTTTCTCCTAGTCCCTGTATATATTTGACAGTTTTGCTGTAATAAGAGTACGGACACTATGACAAGCAGTGACAGAAGGCATAACCCTAAAAAATGTTAAATGGCATGACTAATTTGGCGGGCACTGACAGATGATGAACGTACATGACATTAAATTATTTGAAAATTCAGTTTTTCAAAAATTAAAATGGCTAATTGTGTAGTTGAAAACTGCAAGAATAGAAGAGAATCATTTCATTCATTCCATTTCCTCCATGATGAACAACAGCTACAGAAATGGAAACAACATATAAAGAGGCCATTGTGGAAATTGGGTTCAGCTAGCAAAATTAGCAAAGTACTTAATATTTGAATATTTGGATTGAATTCGTTAAATATAAAGAAAATACGGAGCCTTCATTCTATCGTCAAAAAGATTACCGAATACATTCATCGAATTCTGAAAAATTTGTTCAAGAAAAAATTCAAATAGGAAGCCAAGATCAAATTAACTGTACTTATTTAAGATCGCAAACAAGAAATTATCGAAGGTTAAGAGAGAAAATATGCAAACATTCCAAATTTATTATCAGAGAATTATGAGAAATACAGAAAAAAATCAAAGAAAAGGATGTGCAGTTGAAAAATACCTTGATTCTGAAAGACTGCAAGTAACGAGACTTCACAGCTACTATAAGGAACTAATTTCAAATCTTGAACTATCTCATCAAAAATCTTTGGAAGACTGCGAGGAAACTGCGAATGCAAAAATGCAGGCAATTTTGAATCAAATCATGACCCAAATTGATAGTTTCGGTATATATTTCAACCAAAATTATAGTCAACTTCAGTATTCAAAAACGCGAATCCATGAAATCGATGACAAATAAAAAAGTATTCTGAGTAAAGTTGCTATTTATAAGCAACATATTTTTTCTCATTATTCTAAATATAATGGTAATATATGGGATGCAGAGAGTGTCGAAAAAGCTTTAGTCATAAAATTCATGTGTGGCTCATTCAATCTATGAATTAAGTTAGAAACTATGAACCCTTATGGCCAGTGAGAAGAGACGCCACTTCTTCATAGGAAGGCAGAGAAAGATATATGGATTGACCCTTCATCGCGGCAGTAGAGGAAAGAAGATCCGAAGTGCATGGAAAAGCATATCCATGTCTTTGTTCAACCAAACCTCCAAAGTCATTTTGAGAATTTTGGTTTATGCCTTCTGTCACTGCTTGTCATAGTGTCCGTACTCTAATTACAGCAAAACTGTCAAATACATACAGGGACTCTACTTTTCCCTATGGAATTGGCGGTCTAGATAAGTTTATAAGTCAGTGATAAATACCGAACGCGACTAATCAACTCGTATCAGCGGCTATTTTACATCACAGTGGCGTTACCATTATGCCCTCCTAAATAAATGCAGCCACGTTACCTATCAACGACAAATCCCTGACGTACGCCTCCTCCGTGTCGATCAGCTCCCGCAGCACGTACTCGCGCTTGCGCAGCAGCGCCTCGCGTTTCCCCGCCGCGTCGACGGGCTGCTCGGTCGGCTTGTCGGCCTCGTCGCCGCTGAGGGCAGCCAGCGCCGCCTCGTCGGAGGCGGGGCGCGAAGAGGCGGAGGAGGACGTGTCGCCGTCGGCATGGGCGCGGTGCGATCTGGCGTCGCGCAACAGGATGTGGCGCTCTTGGATCTCGGAGTGTTGTTCCTGGAAAGGGCGGTACGTAGTAGTGACAGTTCATTCATTTCTCCTACGACTACAATTGTAAGTGATCAATCAATCAATCGTTTATTGGTGTTATTATACAGGGCATTTCTTAAGTACGTGTAGAAAATTCAGGAGCATGTTGCTGACGTGAAAATAAAAAGAAAAGTTCGTATAAACATATGTCCGAAAGTTATTCGTTTCTGAGATACAGAGTGTCAAAGTTCGAATATTCGAATAAAGTTTGGTATCTAAGGGTATTTTCCAATGACAATATAAAATTTCATGTTAGTTTGTCTCTTTCGAATGGGTGGCGCCACCTACATGTATTTTGAAACTTTTTTGTGGGTACCTGTATAACGTTTTATTGCAGAAAAATACAATTTGGGTTTCAAGTTTTGTTTGTTTCTTGTATCATGGTCATGATTATCCTGGTGAGTCTCTTGTAGTTGAAGTTTTTTTTTTAACATAGCTTAGACATTCAAAAATCAAAACACATGGGAATGTCAAAATGTCTAGATCTCTGAATGCTTTCTTACAGTCATCACGACAGGGTAAACCTGCAACAACTCTAGCTATCCGTCGTTGAATTTTGAAAACCTCAACAGCGCTCGCAGCATGAGAGAATTCGGATTCTCTATGTGATGAATATATCAATTCTTTCTCGGTTTATTCAACAGAAAACAACTACTTTCCTGGCTATATGCCACGACGAACATTGAATTACATCTATTGAATACACACGATAAGAATTTGAAAACAAAATCTTCTGAAGTAGAGAATTTGCATTCTCCTTCATATAAAGATTTGAACATAATATCATTCTGAATATTCAACAGAAAACAACTACTTTCCTGGCTATTTGCCACGTCGAATATTGAATTATATCTGTTGAACATCCAAGAAGAGGGCATGAAAAAAATAATATCCTCTGAAATTGAGAATTGACATAATCTCTCAAATCAGATAAAATAATATGTATCATGATATAAAAATTTAATTACCAATAAAAAAAAAATGGATGATTTTAGAACCACATATTAATGATTTTCGTTGATGCAAGATAATTTGGTGATTTGATAATTTCTTGAAGAAGTGTAGTTCATTTGTTTGGACATAATGTAAAATGTTGTTTTATTGAACATACATAGTCTCTACATGTTTCAAATCCATGCCGAATCAAAAAAATAAAACAAAATCAAGACATGCAGTAGCCATAATTCAAAGATACAAAATATGATATTTCAATATCTACTAGCACTATTCAGGAACTCCTGATCCTCCGTGTTAGAGATCCATACAAATAAATAAAAATGGAATCAAGACATGCAATAGCCACACATTGTAGATACATGCTCAGATGAGAAAAAAAAAAATCAAACACACGATAACAACCACACCAATAAAAATAAATAGACAGAAAAAAAACTCCGTCCAAACATGCACAATAAACTTGGATAACTACACCTAAAACGAACACACAACACACTTAAGGTAATTTTTTCGCACCATTCTCTCCTTAACTATCTGCTCTATCTCAGCCAAGTCAGCAGTAGTCGCACCCTCTAGAGATTTTAGTGTTAGATTAGAAACCTGTAGGGAGAACAATTTATGATGAATAGAAAATACATACATGATTAATGATGCACATTATGAATAGTTGAGAAAGTACATTCACTGATAAATCGAACAATTTTGATTTTCCACTTGAGAGAATCTCAATTTTACTTTGTATTCGACCTTGATAGCCCACGGGACAGGACCACTTTTCAAAAATGATTACAACATTATCGTTCAATCATTGGTTGTGAAAGTAAAATATATTCAAATTAGCCAGTGAGGATTGGGACGGGTGCCGAATTCTTTATTGGAATGTTCGAATGTCTGACTTTTATCCAAACAAAAATGGTTTTCATGAAATTCACGAACGTTTTTTGAAAAAGTCGCATTACGTACAGGAGTTTGATTGTTTCGACAGGCCCTCCCTCATGACACTCATAGATGAGTTTTCTTGAATTTTACTTCAGTCGTTACTTATCTTGTCACATTATTTCATATAGTTTATTCAGCAGTAATAGTAAGGTAGTAATATACAGTAGAGGTGGTAATACAGTTACAAAATAAGTCTATTCTAAGAGGTCTATAGAAAACAGAAAGATTGTCCATTTAGACAATTCGACCTAAACTAGTACTTGAATTTGGCGCACTATGGTATACAAAGATACTGTGTGTGCGCATCTCTTCTTTATGGAATTATCGGTGAGGTTCTAACTATGTCAATGTTCACCCATGTTATGAATCATTGTTATGCATTCCGTTGATACAAGGTTTCCGAGATGGTCATGTTGTAAATGATAGAGCTGAGAGTGAGCCAAAATAATGTTGGTACGAAGTTATTGACCTTGAAAGTTTCTGCAAGTCCATACATGAGGGGCATCTATGCATAATCATCATTACTTAATTCATCCATATTGTTACCAGAGTATAAAATACTGTCAAAATAATTCGATGTCAATTTCGACGATGACTGCAACTACCAAGATGTTATTGAATAAATAGAGTTTTTATTACCTTTCGAGGAGGATGTATGTTTTTAAAATGCGATTCCTTCTTGAGCAGTACAAGATATCGATTAAAATAGAGCACCTATACTATTTTGTTAAAAATAAGATGAAGGAATCAAACGGTGGAAGCAGGTAAAATTTGTCACTTTTTTCAAAAATGCCTCCAATAAACGGGAAAAAAATCCCATTCGGTATAAAACATAATCACTGAACAGCCGTTTACAAATCGAGAGGAGCATCAGTATGAATTGATTAAGTTGTCCGACTATCATTGATAGCAAACGTTTTAAAGTTATGAAATATATTTTTTTAATCAAACTTTCAAGGTCAATAACTCCGTAATGAAGTGCGATAGACATCTTTTTTATATGAAGTACTAACATATTTTGGCTCACTCTATCATCCCAATCATTAAAGAGAATGGTCTTTACAGACACCCTGTATACATCCTCTCTTTCTTCCCATTAATAATTTTAATGAGTGCCAACATTTTCAGTCTCACCAGTTGGCGTTACTGAATCGTGAGGTCAATGTCAAGATCAAAATTCCCAAACTTTTGCTGTATAGCCTTGAAATATTCGGAAAAAATGATGAACAATATTTGAACAAATAGAAAACCTTAAGCTATGGAGCGACTTGAGCAGACTTACGTTATTTTACTCAAAATGTGTAACTTTACGACCAACTTTTGAAGTGACGGAGAAGAAGATATCGTAGGAAGAGGCCAAATGACACGAAAAGAAGAATTATATTTACCAGTTCCACCAACACTGACCTCACGTTTTTGTAGCGCGATCTGGTGGACGATAAAATAAATAAAGTTGGCCCTCATTGACTTTAATAATTGTACATATTAGATTAAGTGTGATCACGTGTGTCCAATCATGACGCCCCAGTCTTATGCTGTTATCAATTCCTCTCTCTCTTCCTCTCTCTATGCGCATCTACACCTTTTCCAGTTGTATTTCAGACAGCGTCAATTAAATTTCATGTTGAATGTCAGAAAGTGTCATTCGTAGTTCAATCAATATCATTTGAAATACAATTGACATTTTCTGGAATTCAGTTGACTATTCTGAAATACAAATTGACGCTTTCTGAAATTCAAATGACTATTCTGAAATACAAATGAGGCTTTATGAAATACAAGTGAGTATTTTGAAATACAATTATTGACCCTTACTGAATTTGAATTGTCTATACTGAAATAGAATTCATGCTTTCTGAAATACAAGTGGGTATTCTGAATTTCACTTAATGACCCTCTCTGAATTTGAATTGACTATTCTGAAATACAATTGACGCTTTCTGAAATACAAGTGAGTATTTTGGAATAGAATTATTGACCCTTTCTGAATTTGAATGGACTATTCTGAACTACAATTGACGCATTCTGAAATACAAGTGAGTATTCTGAAATACAATTGATGCTTTCTGAAATACAATTGACGCTTTCTGAAATACAATTGACGCTTTCTGAAATACAAGCGAGTATTCTGAATTTGACTTAATGAGCCTTTCTGAATTTGAATTGACTATACTGAAATATAATCGATGCTTTCTGAAATACAAGTGAGTATTCTGAAATATAATTATTGACCCTTTCTGAATTTGAATCGACTATTCTGAAATAAAATTGACGCATTCTGAAATACAACTGAAAAAGGCGTAGTTATCCATCAACTTCACACCGTCGGTCCGAAACCGACCACCCCCCTCACTCACCCTCTTGCCCGCATCCTCCTCCGCCTCCGCCCCGCCCTGCAGCGAGGCGGGCGCCGGCACGGGCGGCGGGGCAGCCAAGATCGGCTCCTGGATCGGCTTCATCGGCGGCGGCAGCTCCAGCTCCTCGTCCGCCTCTTCTCCCCCGACCCCGACACCGCCGCCGCCGTTCGAGATCTCCGCGCCCAACGACTTGGCGGGCTTGAGGGCGCCGCCCCCGCCCGGCGGTCGATCGTCGTCGTCCTCCTCGCCCTCGGACACCGACGGCTTGTTGCCCATGTCGGAGGGGACCTGCGAAAAGAAGAGTGAAGAAGGTGAACTAGGGTCTCTTGATGGAAATTGACGTTAAAGTCATCTTAACAGGGTACGGACAGATCCTCGTCTCCTCTCACTCTAAAGTGTTTGTGAAACAGTTATATAGTTCCATCCTTATTCAATTCTGGGGATAAACACTAGATTTTTGACATTCGTTGTTTTTTAGGTTATATTGAGGTCACTGGCGTATCATACGTAATTTCCATATGGAATTCCTGATTCAATACTCAATGACTATACCAAGATATAGATAAACAATCCTCTAGTTTTACAGTCTACTACTCCAGCATAATCTTTGCGAGGTAGGAATCATATAAATTGTACTGAAAGCTCAATATATTTCAGCAAAAGAGACTGTTCTTAGACTGTAAATCAGGGTTGACTGATTGACTTAATGAATTCTGACTTCAAGCTGAGCAGAAGTTTATCTATGAGCTGAATGAGCTGAGCCTTATGATTGAGAAATGGTGGAAACCTCGATGTGGGTATCTGAAATACTGTATTCATGTCATGTGTGCTAAATATATTTTCGGAAATACAATTCTGAGAAGAATTTATGGAGTGACTAATATGACATTATGTATAATACTTCATCTGGGACGAAAATTAGGCTCAAGGCTGATGAAAAGTAATACGTAAAATGTGCAGGAAAATAAATGATACAATATACTTAACCCCAATGTTATACATATGATTTTTCCATCTCCCCTGAATAAAAAGTCATTTTCGAATAATTTATTGATGAAAGTAACAGAGAAGTAGGTATACGCAGTATAACTTACAGACACGTCATTTTCACTCTTGCATCCTACATATTTTGTATTTGTGGTAGAGTTAATAATTATATAAACTAATGTATTTCGCCATATTGGACCCGTCTTCTTGAATTTTCGAATTTTGACGAAACAATCATTATCTCCTACCCCGAAAACCCCCAGATACCAATCTTAAATAAAAGCAGATCATAATTAGGAATTTATTCCGCCATCTTGAATTTTCCAAGTTTGACGAAACAATCATTATCTTCAACCCCGGAAAACCCCAGATACCTCCTAGTTTTGAATAAAATCGGATCATAATTACAAAACTCGTTCGCCATCTGATCTTCCTCAACAAGTAAATACTTGTAAATACCCTGTACATACCTATTATTAAAATTTTGAATGATTTTTGTAGCGCCCATGATTATGACGTGACAGCAATGTCAGGGATGCCAGTAGACAAAACAAAAGTCTCTAGATCATTAAAAAAGAATGCAGCTATGATCTGTCCGTACCCTGTTAAGGTGACTTTTACGTCAATTTCCATCAAGGGACCCTATCACGAACCAATTAATCATTTTTTCAAATGTATGATAAATTGACATTCATCATACAGGATGTGGAAAAAAAATTCGAATAGAAAAAAAAACCAATGCCCGATGACAGTGCTAATGTCAACAAATTATAATTCTCAGATTTCAGTTCGTTATAGTTTTAGTTATATTATAGGGAGATGAAAATTGTATATATCATGAAGAATGGCTGAAAGAATAACTGGACTTCAGGTTACTGATGAGGATATGATATCCGAAATGAATTCATATAACCTGATGTTTGTGAGAGATATAATTCCCATATCACTGATACGAAGCTCATCAAGATCAGAGTTCATACAAGTATACTTCTCCTATACATTTCAATTTTCATTTCAATACTGAACATATTGGAAAGTTATATTTTTATATCATAATACATCATATTATTCTATTCGATTTGAGAGATAATGTCAATTCTCAATTTCAGAGGATTTTGATTTTTCATGCTCTCTTTTTGGATATTCAACAGATATAATTCAATGTTCGACGTGGCAAATAGCCAGAAAAGTAGTTGTTTTCTGTTGAATATTCAGAATGATATTATGTGCATATCTTTATATGAAGGAGAATGCAAATTCTCTACTTCATAAGATTTTGTTTTCAAATTCTTATCGTGTGTCTTCAATAGATGTAATTCAATGTTCGTCGTGGCATATAGCCAGGAAATTAGTTGTTTTCTGTTGAACAAACAGGAAAAGAATTAATATTTTCATCACATGGAGAATGCGAATTCTCAATGTATTTATTTATACAGGGTGGGCCACCAGTAACTCCTCGGTCTCTAGAAGGCTAACCACTTATCTTCTTGGAATTCTTCCTCTCTAGGAAGTTGCATGTCAACATAGGCTACCATTTGAAATTATTTTGAAACATACAGGATGTCCCCAAAAATCACAAAACACTGAAGTTGAACTTTTTTCTATCGAACACCCTATATATTATTTCATTTTGAGATTCTCCCTGATGAGCTGATTTCAACGACCCATCATACTTGGGGTCTAGCAGTTATAAATACTGAGATATAGGGTGTGAGAAATCGAGATTTTCCAAGTTCAAGAATTTGGCGCTAGTTACACAGTTCGTACCGAGTAGTTTTGAACATAACTTTTTTGAGGTTAGATTTTTCAATCCAAATATGATATGGACTTGAACATCATTCAATTTTACACCAAAAAGGTACTCCTGGTGAAACTCGATATACTATGTTCCGTTTTCGGAATATTTCGATTTGAAAATAATGGAGTAGTAATGATGCTGGTATAAAATGAATTTTATTGAGTTCAATTGCCTATTTATTCAGGTTCAAAAACAATAAAATTATTCTTGTGCTGAAGTTATTGATGGAACGAAGAATCATAAGTAGAAAATTAAGAGATATTTGAATAGAAACATGAAATATTGAATCAGTTAGAGTAAGTGTTCAAAATGTCCTACGTTTCGAGGAATAACATAGACTTTCTGCTCAAGATACAACAAAACTGTGTAATCCATGTTCTTAGTCGAATCTGTATCGATGTTATTCTGGTGATTCATTGTTAAATCAATGAGTTTTGCATCAGAAATGTATTGTTGTTTTCCGTTTTCAAAGAATAGGTTATATTTTTTCATAATACTCACTCTAATACATAGCTTTATACCAGCAACAGTTACCACTTCATCATTTTCAAATCGAAATATTCCGAAAACGGAACACAGTATCGAGTTTTACCAAGATTACCTTTTTGGTGTGAAATTGAATGATGTTCAAGTTCACATCAAATTTGGATTGTTCAAAAACTACTCGGTACGAACCGTGTAACTAGCGCCCTCTATGAGAGTCAGATATAAAAACAAATGCATGCGATGTGTCAGATTCCAAGAAACATCCACACAAAATTTCATCACAATGTTGCCAGTAGTTTCAACATAATCGTAAAAAATGTGAAAAAAAATATTGTTTCAACACCTTGTATCTTGAAAACGGATGGCGTTACGACATTTTTTTACTGAGCAAACCCAACTTATTTTGCAATGTTCTACCTACCCTAGCAAGGGGGTTAGGTTTTTCCGAAATACCCTGTAGATATAGTTAACCCGAAGTCACTGTTCTGATGCGAGATTCGCAGGAATGGCACTCGAATCTAGTAGGAATTTAGCAATAACGACTTGTCATATGCTGTCATGGTCATGGCTAATAGAGTTTGATAATAATTGAAAAGAAGTGCTTTCATAGTGACAACAGGTCCATATTTCAGCTTCAAAGAACTATTATGATTGAAATATTTTGCTAGTGGCGAAACATATAAACCTTGGTAGTGAAGAATATTACTCCACGGTTTTGGTCCCTGAGTACTAATGATATTATTCACTACCTTGGTGTATAAATAACTACGTATTACCCCGGAAAGCAAGGAATGGTTGATGTTGAAAATCTTTTAGGTTTCTTAGTTGATTATTTTTCGATATACTTTGTTGGTGGGCACATGATTTTTATCGACAAACAGAAAGCCTGATGTATACCGTGATGTCTGTGACTAATGAACCACGGCATTCATTTCAACTATGCTAATAAAATGCTGCCATTTTATTTGACCTATAAAAGGCACTCGCGAAATTACCAAAAAAAAAACTGACATGAAAGCGAAAAAAAGCACCTCATTCCTCGAATTCTCGTCTGTATAATTAGTATATCCTAGAATTATTATTAATTCCGTAAAAACGTCCATGAACGACTACACACACATCAGGCTAGTGGTCCCACCCTTATTAGTGTTTTTTTTCCGTGAAACAATAATCTAGGTCACCGGCGTGGGAGCAAAAAAGTGTACACCCCCGACATAAATGTACTATCACGTTTCCCTGAATTTCCACCCACCCACTCATGAAAGCTATTTCAATCATGTTACACTTTTCGCCAAAAAGTTCGACCGATGAATTACTCTATCGTGGAGATGAAACATTAATTTCTCTAGATTTTTGGAATTTTCTCTCATCGTCGCAATGAAGATCTTTGTCAATCAAGATCTTACGGAAATGGGTAAGTTTCCTTCAGATGAATTTTCAGTTCGGAACTCTCCAGTTTTATGTCCACGCTGTACAGAAAGGCGACAATTTCTGATTTTCGAGGAGGCAAACTGTGACGTACATAAATCTAGTCTGAAAATAGCTGATGGTGAAGAATATAGCTAGCGAATAGCTAAAAACTAGTAAACAAAAACATACATAACCACAAAAAAAACATACATAACCACAAATGCACTCGGAGCAGGAATGCAGATGGTAGTTGGCTTCATTCTGACAGGTTATGGTTTTGTTATTTATTCATTGAAATTGAAATATCTCGAATAGAGCTCGATCCTAAACGAAAATATCATTGAATCAATGAATCACTATCGGTTACATTCGATGATACTGTCCTTCCTAATTTACTGCCATCGGTCAGAACAGAATGAAGCCGACATCCATGGCACCTTCCTCTTGTTGTGCCTGTCAGTATTTTGAGTGGTGTGGACGGACTCGAAGTATTAGGCGCTGTTGCAAGATATAATCTGCAACTTTCCTACAGAGAAGATCCGTTTTATTAAGGAACGAATTAATCAGCAAAAAAATGACTGACAAGTTATGAATAACATATTGTAAT